TATATATACAGCATTAGGCTCATGGAAGAGAAGAGAATAATCCCATCAGCTCAAAAAAACGTACAACCCCTCTTTCTCTCTCTTCCAAGGAGTTCTTCTATTTCTTGTGCTCCACTGATACAAGATCTAGAAAGTTGTTTGAGAATACAGTAGAAGATCTTAAGGTATATAGAGATTCCGATCATACATCCAAACCGGAGACCAAAACCAACAAGTGACCATACCACGACGACCAGGACGACGAGACGAAGAGATCGCCGTCGAGATCGCCGCCGTCCGACGTCACACGCGCCCGCACGCGCCGCCGGGAGAGGACTGCTGCCGGAGATCACGCGCGCGCGTGAGAGAGCGTGGAGCCTCCGATTTTTTCCGATCGGTCAACGCCGTTGACTTCGCCGTGACGTCAGCTTTCTGGATTGGTCAAGTTTGTTCGATTCCGAGAAGATTTTATTTGCGGTCAACTGTCCGGGCCAGCCAGATCTACATAAATTTTAAGCAGTAAGTTTTCTTCATCAAACCTTTAGATCCGCTGCGCATAGGTTTATGTTGAATGTTTTTTTGTGATTTGTGCATATCGAGATCCTCGTGGGTTCCAACATGATCTTCATCATCCCATTTGCAATCAAATTGGTCCATGTTATTTTTGTACCCCCACCTCAATCTATAGGCAAGTCTCTTTATCACGATATGAAATCACATAAACACCCATTCAAAGGCAAAGTCGACCAGAATTCAACAAAACCATGGATTCAACAAACAATTACAATAAACCATACTTCTCAGATACGAACAACCATTAAACAATTGCACCAAGCGAAAATTCAAATGCATTACTCCCCATACCATGGTCCACGCAAGAAACACAAGAGATCAAATACAAACATTACCATCTCCTTGATTTAAGACATGCTTAAAAAATTATGAGTAGTCGATTCAAGCAAAATTCCACACTTTCACATGAAAATCCATATGAGAGGTCCAAATATATCAAGATATCCAATTATGCAAATTTAATCCTTGTCCTCGAGCCCACCGATGTAAAATTGATAAATCAACAAACACACGATAAGCACAATCACAATATATCCTCAATTCGAAATCACGACCCGCACTTATTTTCAATCATATAATTTCTCCACGAATAAATCAAATATCTCTACGATCAAATTAAATATCACTCTGAACCAAACAAATAATATCTCCACGATCAAATCAAATATATCCACAAATAATCATATAATATCTCCACAAATAAATCAAATATCTCAACGAGCAAATTAAATATATCACGAACAAATCATATAATATCTCCACAAATAAATCAAACAATATCTCCACGAGCAAATTAAATATCTCCACGATCAAATCCAATAATCCCTCGATCAAATCAAATATCACTGCGAACGAATCAAATATCCCCACGAACCAATCAACTATATACACGAATAAATCATATAATATCACCACGACCAATCAAATAATCTATCAACTTTCACCAATTTAAACCCTCAAGTCTCCAACTTTTTCAATTTAAATTAAATAATTTGTCCCATTTTCACCAATAAAAATCTTCAATTCTCAATTTAAATAAGCCACATACCTTCGCCACGATAATGTTACCAAAATTTGCCTCTCGTCTGCGTTGAATCATCCCAAATTAGTATTGGGCACGAAATGGAGCTGTTCGTATCATTCTGGGCCACTAGAGGGGCTGGGCGAGCCATGGGCCGCACTGGAGGTATTTGGACCGCGCGCGCAATGGGCCTAGTGGGAGGCTGAGATCAGCGGGCCGCTCGTAGAGCTGGGGTTGTGAACAACACGGGCTGTGGGTCAGGCCACATGCAGCCTCTCGCGGGCCGATATCTGTGAGCGTTGCGGGCTTCGCGGGCCGTACGCGACCCACGTACTTTCCACTTCCTTCGCGTGGGTTGGCGGGAACTGGGCTGACCAAATACTGTTGGGCCTCATATAATTAATGTTGGACCAAGTGATGGCTCCACCTTAGGCGAAAGGGCCTGGGCCTCTTCGCTGGCCTGCGGGGCGCGAGATCGCGCGGGCCCAAAACCTGAGTTGAACAGCGCTGAAACCTGCGCGAATGACGGCTGGAACACGCTGAAAAAATTTCCACCCGCCAAACTTTACCGATCCCGGCGAAAACGAACAGTCGTGTGAGGTCCTCGACAAGGCGATTCCAATGGTGCCCTCAGTTTGCGATGATTCGCCGGAAATCAAACTGAAAATGAGGGAGATGACCGAATTTTGACTAAAAATTTTATAGATCCATAAACTTTGACCGGTAAATCGACGACCTTTCCGGTAGAATTATCGATTGAAAATGTAAGGGTAGAACAAGCACAAGGAGAGCTTCGCGATGGTGTTAGAATTTTACAGATCAGACGACTTTGGACGGCGTCCGACGAGGGTCTGTAGCCAGAGATTCGCCTCGACAAGAGGATTCTGTTGGTACCCTCGAATTTTCCATAGCTCTCACGAATCGTCGGGAAAATGCATTTGAATGCCTGATTTTAACCAAACTTTTGCTAGATCTGGAAACTTTTACCGCAAAATTTACGGCCTTCATGGATGAATTTTTGCATGAAATTTTAAGGGAAGATTCACCTCGAGGAGATCTTCACGATAACGTAAAGAATTTTCTGATCAGAGCACGTTTTCCGACGGCGGACGGCGGAGGTTGCGGCCGGCGATGGCGGCGGCCGGTGGAGGTGAAGGAGCTTGCTGGAAAATTTTTGAGTTTTTCGGTTGGAACTCCGTTTGATTTTTTTAACGGGTCCCACAGACGGCGCAAATAATAGTGAAATGGGCTTCACCTGGCTCCTTCAAATCGAACGACCTCCGTACCTGCAGGAACCCAACGCCGAGAGGGGTCTCGGTGTCGGGCCTCCGATGCCTAAATCAGCACTCGTAAATGTGAGTGTAGTAATGAATGAATAGAGAATTAGTTAATGAGACACCTTAGTTCGAAGTGTACCTTTTAAGACCAAGTTGGGTTTGACCCATGTGGTTATACTATATATCTTAACCTATTTGTAACAAATTCTGCAATATATTCTTTGTTATCCATTACAATCATATAGTATAATATCTTATATTGGTAGTTTTTAATTCTGAATACACCCTACTCTTGTAAGTTGTAGGTTAGAGACTCAGAACTAAAAGTTCAATAATAATTAAAAAAAATAGCAAACCCATTTATCCACGTGTCGGGTTGGACAAAGAACGTGGATATGCAATCAAAATTAAATAAATAAAATAAAAAAAAGGGAAATATCTAGGTGGACAGAATTTATTTATTTATTTTTTCGAAAGGTGGACGGAAATATGAATGGAAAATAATTTTGAAAAGGTTTGATGGACACACTTTTATGCGGTGGGAGGTTTGATAGGAGAAGATTCCTGCATTTTACATTATCATAGTAATAATAATAATGGGGTGTCTATATGTACACCCCCTTGTGTGTAAAAAAAGGGTGTACATATAGCATTGCCCTTTGTGTAATTTATTAAAAAGGGGTGTACATATAGCATTGCCCATAATAATTTATTTTTAAATTATTATTATTTTTTTCCTAGAACAGAATCAAAAATTCGTCCAAGTTCTCTTCATGTAACCCCCCTAGTGGGCCCCACGGTTTCTCTTTCTCTCTCTCTCTCACTACATTTAATTCTCTCTTTCCCTTTCTATTCTTCTTCTAATTCATCACCTGCTTTTTTACTCCCTCTCCTTTTCTCCATTTTTTTTCCCTGCAAATCTTCATTTCTCTCTGTCTAGAAAAATTCAGTATTGCCTCTCATGTAAAAAACAGTACTGACTGCTCTCTCTCTCTCACTCTCTCTCTCTCTCTCTCTCTCTCTCTAGAAAACCCATTTTAGAAATTCAAACAGAGAGAGTTGGGTGAAGAGTGAATTAATTAAGGAAGATAATTAAAGTCTTTCTCCTTAAATGCGCATAAAAACTACATAATTTTTTGGATCTTTTTATGTAATGGAGTTTGTGTACAGAGTGATGACGAACCTGGGTTTTTGAGAGGGTATTAGAAGGAGCCTAAAATTAAGCCTAACTTTTCGAATTTTCTTGCCTTTAAATTTGTTTTATTGTGGGTTTTGTCATTTGGGTTTAGTTTTTCTTGAGCAGTTAATTTTGATTTTGACAATGCTCGATGTTGTTAATGCTGCATTTAGATGTTCAATTGCAGAGATGAATTCGTTTGCATGTGAAAATAGGATCTGAAGATTACAGGTTGTGAGGTAATATTTTATTTTCTGCTATCCCTTTTCTTTTGCAATTCTTGTTTGTGGCTTTTGGGTTTCTTTTCTACTTTGACTTGGTTTTAATTTTTGAAAATCTTTTGATGAATTTATGGCTTTATGATGCTAAATTTGTGTGCGTTCTCTATGTGATGAATTAGATTACGGATTTTTCTGTGCAAAATTTGAGAAGTAATTGATCTTTTCATCATTTTCTGAGGTAGATTTAAGATGATTTTGGCTCTTGGGTTTCTTGAATTATTTCCTTTGCACTCAAACACATGTATGTCCTCTACCACACGCATTATCTTGCTAAAATGAGGAGAAAAAATTATACAATTGATCAGTGCCATTTTCTGGTTGCAGAAGTGTAGCAAGCACCCAACATCTGAACCCAGCTAAATCGAGTAAAATAAAAGGGAAACGACAAAAGCGAAGGAAAAATGCTGGCCACTGAGAGCAAAAAGGCCGATCACTCGACCCACTAGACGACACAAAATGTGGGCAAAGGCATTAGCACCTGTGTTACTTATAGCCCTTCTACTTGTGCTTGTCCCCTCATCGGCTGAGAAGGAAAACAATGGTGCCTTGGATGCTGAGGCCCGGTGCAACTGCGAGGATGATGGTGGTTTCTGGACGATCGAGACAATCCTCAACTGCCAGCGGGTGAGTGACTTCATGATCTCGGTGGCCTACTTCTCCATCCCGATCGAGCTCCTCTACTTCCTCAGCTGCTCCACCATCCCCTTCAAGTGGGTCATCGTCGAGTTCATTGCCTTCATCGTCCTCTGCGGCATGACCCACTTCCTCAACGGCTGGACTTATGGGCCCCACTCCTTCCACATCATGCTAGCCCTCACCGTCTTTAAATTTCTCACCGCCTTGGTCTCCTTCGCAACCGCCATTACCCTTGTGACTCTCCTCCCCTTGCTTTTGAAACTAAAGGCGAGGGAGCATTTGTTGAAAAAAAAGACGTGGGACCTCGACCGTGAGGTCGCAATAATAATGAAGCGCAAGGAGGCCGGCTTGCACGTCCGCATGCTCACCCAGGAGATCCGGAAGTCGCTCGACCGACACACCATCCTCCACACGACGCTGGTCGAGCTGTCCAAGGTGCTCGACCTTAAGAACTGTGCCATTTGGATGCCCAACGCGAACCGTACGGCGATGAACCTCACCCACGAGGTGCGGGGCCGGACCTTCTCGAGCAGCTTCAGCTCGTCCGTGATCCCGTACGGTGACCCGGACGTGCTCGAGGTGAAGAAGGGCGGAGGGGTGCGGGTGCTCGACGGGCGGTCAGCCCTCGCCGTTGCCAGCTCTGCGGGGCCCGGTCCGCCGGGAGCTGTGGCGGCCGTGCGGCTCCCGATGCTCCGTGTCGCCAACTTCAAGGATGGCGGCACACCTGAGATGGTGCCCCAGTGCTATGCAGTCCTTGTTCTGGTGCTGCCGAGCGGGGGAGGTGGTGAGGAGGAGCGCGAGGGGTTGGTGAGATCGTGGGGCCCACAGGAGCTTGGGATCGTGGAGGCAGTGGCGGACCAGGTGGCGGTGGCGGTGTCGCACGCGGCAGTGCTGGAGGAGTCGCAGAGCATGCGGGACAGGCTGGCGGAGCAGAACAGGGCCCTGGAGCAGTCTAGGCTGGATGCACTGATGGCGAATCGGGCGAGGGCCACGTTCGAGCGGGTGATGAGTGACGGGCTGCGGCGACCCATGCACTCTGTCCTCGGACTTCTGTCTTTGCTGCAGCAGGATGATGCAGGGGCGCTGGGCAGTGAGCAGCGGCTACTAGTGGACACGATGGTGAAGACGGGTGGCGTTCTCTCTACGCTGATAGGGGATGTGATGGGAACATCCGGGAGGGGCCGGGCCCGACTGGAGACAAGGAGCTTTCAGCTGCACTCGATGATCAAGGAGGCTGCGTGCCTGGCCAAGTGCCTGTGTGCGTACGCGGGGTGTGGCTTTGTTACGGAGGTCGAGAAGACGCTGCCTGACCATGTGATGGGGGACGAGAGGAGGGTGTTTCAGGTGATTCTGCATATGGTCAGGCATTTGCTGGATGGAAGCAATGGGGGGTGCCGCTGCCTCACACTAAGGGTGTATTCAGCGGGCGGGAGTCAGACTGGGTGGAGCGAGCAGAGCTGGGGCCACTGGAGTTGGAACTCCACTGACGGGTATGTGCATACGAGGTTCGAGGTTGGGATTCGTCGTGGTGGGTCGTCTCAGTCGGAGGATGGGCTTGCTTTGGCAGTGTACGGTGGGCATGGGCATTATAATGGGGAGTTGGAGGAGAGTTTGAGCTTTACTGCATGCAAGAAACTTGTTAAGGTACATTTGCAACGAGCTTTTTTGTTTCACTTTGTTATGTTGGATTGGTTATAATTTACGTTACATAATATGTATATTGACGTCACATGATATCTATTTATACTGGTGTTACGTACTTTTTTTTTTTTTCTCATGATGACATAATCTGGAATCGTTATAGACGGAACAAGTCATTAAATTCCCAATTTCTGTGGCGAACTGAACCGAATGCATAAATGCGTAAATAAAAGAACTAGAAAAGGAAAAGAAAATCTTTGATTATATGGCTTAAGCTGAATAGGAATTTATGAGCAGAAGAGTTGAAAAATAACAAGTTCTTCCTGTCATTCGCAGAATGGTGTGAGTAAAAATTCTAAGTTTGAGAATTATTGCATGGAAAATGATTGGTCAGGTACTTTGTTTGATGGATTCATTAATACCACATAAAGAGACAATCCTCTCATTTTCCTTCCTCTCATCCTTTTTTTCCTACACGTCTAGTAGCATATTTGCCTTTTTGTTAAGATAAATCGTATATTTCTGTATATGGAACCAAACATTCATTCAGCCGAGGCACAAAATGGTTTAAAAAAAAAAACCTTTGCTTACATCACCCGAAGTTCAAAGCCATATAAATACCAACCGTTTTATTATTCGAATAATCATTGCACTTTTTATTTTTTGTCTAACGTCAATAAACTCATGCAGTTAATGCAAGGTGACATCTGGTTGACGTCAAACCCAGAAGGGTTCGACCGTAGCATGGCTCTCGTCCTCCGTTTTCACGTCCCCTCACAAGCAACTGCGGAGCACCTTGAGCCGCCATCCTCTGACCGCCTCCGTTCGGAAAACTCCATCTTGAGGGGCCTCAGGGTTCTCCTGGTCGATGCAGATGACTTGAACCGGGCCGTGACTCAGAAGCTTCTAGAAAAACTAGGCTGCACTGTCTCGTCCGTCTCCTCCGGGTATGAGTGCCTCAGCGCCTTGGGGCCATCCGCCTCGTGCCAGGTCGTGATCTTGGACCTCCAACTGCCCGATCTCAATGGTTTTGAGGTCAGCACCAGGATTCGCAAGTTCTGTAGCCGCAATTGGCCATTAATTGTGGCCCTGACAGGTAATGACGATGGTGATGTGGTAGACAGGTGCGCGGGGTCCGGAATGAATGGATTCATTCAGAAACCGGGTACTTTGCGCGAGATCTCGGACGAGCTTAAGCGCATCTTGATGCAGGTGAATATGAATAGGATTTGAGGTTTTTCTTATGGGTCTCGTTAGAATAAAACGAAAGAGAAGTGTAATATTGCTGTAAGGTAGCTAGCGTATGGGACCCTGTCGTTCGGCTAATACAAGAATATAGTGAAAAAAAAAAATGGTATAGAAAAATGAACTGTTTTTGACTTCCTTATTTTGTTTTGTGGGTTGAGTTCACTTTGGCAGCTAAACTAGGCAAAGTGTAAAACTAATGATAGTTTAGCTTGTTAAACTGCAACCATCATCCCACCTCTATGATCTATGCGGCTCGTTATTTTTTCGGCCGGTTGATGATCAAAGGATAATACACAGATGTGATGAAGTTGTGCTTTATGTAGTTAAAGATAAGTTGGACAAGTGTGGTCAGTATGAGTAGTGTGGGGAAAATTTTAGTTTGTTCAATGTAAAATAGCATCCCTGAGTATTCTTATTTTTGCAAACTGATGTTGCTCTCTAGATTTTGGTCTGTGTAGCGTAATGTTTGCCTTTGTTGCCTTTGTTGGACAATTTCTGTTACATTTCTTCTGATGTAAAATGAAGCATGGGTGCGTACTATTCATTCTGTTTATGTATGTATTGATGTACATAATTTTTAAATGTCTTATTAATTTACTCGTTTTTCACCTGGTCTATTACAAGTGTTGATTATCAACCAATGGTATTGGATTAGCTATTTGTAAATTAGAAGATATATGTCTATCTCTAGACTTTATACTCGTCTCCATTCAAATGATTTTTTTTTTTTTTTTTAAGGTTTGCATTATACTTTCCTCAGCAATAATGATTTTGATTTTCATATTGTGAAAATCTTATGAATCTAACTTTATGGGATGGATAAAATACTGAGAAATGCTATAGACATATAATATTGTACATAGAGGTGTATATAATATAACACTCACATTGAGTGGGACTCACCAAAAATAACAAATCAAGTGTACCCCACTTTATGTGAATGTCATGTACACCTCTATGTACATTTATTATTTACTCGTAACATTTTTCTAAAATATTATCTACAATTGCTACATTGGATGTAGTGTTGTTATAATTGTTACACTCAACTTTTGTATTTCAGACTGTTATCACCCTCATTTCCAAAATAAAAAACCCTCAGAAAGTTAGTGATTTCAGACCTATTAGCCTTTGCATTGTTCTCTATAGATTGATCTCTAAAGTCTTGGCTAATAGGCTGAAAAAAGTTCTTCATGTCTGTATTTCACCAGCTCAGTCAGTTTTTTCCCAGGTAAGCAAATTATTGACAATGTGATATAGCTAATGAGTGTGTGCATAAGTTAAACAGTCAAAAATAGGGAATAACATATTTATGTCCATCAAGCTAGACATGGCTAAGGCTTTTGATATAGTGGGATGAGACTTCTTTATTCGAGTTTGTGTCTCTATGGGTTTTGATGCCAAATTTATAAGGTGGATCTGGTTTTGTATTGCATCTTCATCATTCTCTTTTAATTTGAAAGGTCAACCCAAAGGCTTCCTTCAACCTTCCAGAGGAATTAGACAGGGGGATCCACTCTCCCCTTATCTGTTCATCATCCTTTCAGAAGCATTCTCTAATCTCAACCCAAAGGCTTCCTTCAATCTTCTAGAGGGATTAGACAGGGGGATCCACTCTCCCCTTATCTGTTCATCATCTTTTCAGAAGCATTCTCTAATCTCATTCATCAAGCATGCATGTTTTCTTCTTTCCAAGGCTTGAAAATTAGCAAATTTTCCCATACTATAACTCACCTTTTCTTTGAACATGATGCCCTGATCTTCTGTAAAGCCACTCATGCTCAGGCTCTCACTTTTCTTAACCTTCTCAACAAGTATTGTGTTGTTTCTGGCCAATTGGTCAATCCCATAAATCGAGCGTCCTCTTTTCTAAGAATTCTCCTGATAATTTGAAGTCTGAAATCTGCCATATTCTTAGAGGTATTTCTGTGGTTCACTCTTCCAAGTATTTAGGACTTTCTTTCTGTATTAGTAGAATTAAAAGATACATTTTAAGTTTGTGAGTTATTGTGTCATTTCTAGAATCAAAAATTGGAAAAATCAATTTCTCAATTAGGCTTGAAAAGAGGTGTTAATCAAAATTGTCCTAGATGCCCTCCTAACATATGTTATGTCTTGTTTTAAAGTGTCTGTTGGAGTTTGTTATGATATTTCCAGGGTTGTGGCTGACTTTTGGTGGGGTCATTCTGAAGAAGGGAAGAAGAAAATTTATTGGGTTAAATGGGAGTTTCTTACTCAGCCAAAATTGGAAGGTGGTCCTATCTAAAATGCACCTGAATATGTAAGTCTCCACCTCATACTGTCCGAACTGTCCTCCGAGATGAGAATCTTCTGGATCTGATCTAAAACCTGGTCACTAAAACCCGCTCCAGTACCCAACATCCTCTCTAGCCTATCACTATCCATATTACACGCTACATCAGTCTACAGGTCCTTCACCTATAGGGAAGGAGAGTGGTTGACCGACTTAGTGCTCGAAAAAGGTCCTCACCAAACCACCACTCGTCCCAAAAACTAACATCTCCCTCACCCAACGTCCAAAATATGTGCTCCTGGGCACGACTACCTACCCTGATATGCCGCCTCCATTGTCTACTATCACGAGTGATGGTTGTCACCCTGGAGGGATGACATACACCTTTAGGGAAGTACTTCCTGCAAAGGTACTGAGCCAAAGCGACTTGCCCTCCCTAAAAGGCCACCACATCTTGTAAGATAAAACGTTGGCTACGTCCGATAAGCGGCGGATCCCAAGGCCACTGTTAGAAAAGGGCGACAAACAGAATCCCACTTCACCTAGTCGGCCTATCTCCCGCTCCGGGAGCCTTTCCTATGCCCCTAGAAATAACGAGCCATGTTCTGATCTAACTCGTGGATAGTCGATTGAGGGGAATCATGGACCATAAGGAGATGAAGCGGAGTGGTGCTGATCAGCACGATCCGACGCCCAAAAGAAAGATGTTTGTGCGACCAGCTGGAAATCTGGTAAATCATTAGAGATTTGATATTATATGACTAAACTATTCAACATAAAAGTACTACTTTTCACTAAAAGTATGTAGTGACAAAATTTTATGTAAAATAGATATTTTCACCCAGTTTTGAAGTTCTGGTAAGTTTTCACACCGTCCAATAAAAAGCTAAATTTTTCACCCCAGAAAGTGCGAAAGACATTGTGCGATGAATATGCGATAATTGCGCGATGACATTGTGCGAAAGTTAAAAGTGCGAAGACATTCGCATATCCCTTCGCACTTTCTTGGGTGAAAAAAAGTTAAAGTGCGAAGGCATTGTGCGATGAATATGCGACAGTTATGCAATTGATATGCGACATTTATACAGTTCATTCGCATAACCGTCGCATTTTTCGAAGTGAAAAACTTAACTTTTTTATCAGGCGGTATAAAAAACATAATGTATATTTGTATTGGGGCGCCCGCATTCCTAAATGTATATATGAAAAAATGTATACGTTACAACTAAATTTCATCAATTCAATATTTAAATCATCACTAAAGGTTAAATTACGAATCAGTGTGATGTTATTTAAACATTAACCAATTGTGACGTAATGACGTCAGTGTGATGTTATTTTAGATTATGAATTTGTGTTTTATTATCTAAACATCATCATGACAAAGTTTGTTGAAAAAATTATTGTTTCTCCTTTACTAAACGTTAAACTTCAATTGAACACGATCCATGACAGATTCCACCTTGGAGGCCCAAGCCCCTGGCATCCATCCCATCACACAAATCATAGTATAGTGTAGTTATTTTACAGACGCAAGCATTCGAACCTGAGACCGAGATCCTTAACAAGATAATGTCACTATTACCACTACGCGCGATATCATGAAATACATAATTTTGGGAGAAAACTAGGAGTGTATAAATATGATACTTTTTCAGTTGAAAATCAAATAAAATCTAGGACTTTCAAATACTAAATTTTGAAGAAGTCCTGCATATATAAGAGTGTCATAAATAAGCTAGTTTTCAGTGGTGAAAATAATTTTTTTGTCATTGTTAACTACTAAATTATGACAAAATATCAGTGATTGTAACAAAATTTCTCATCTAATATATAATCAAAGAGACCACTATAAATAGTGTCACAAGAATGTATTTTTTTAATTATGATATAAAAAATATCATTATTGCATACAAAATTGAGATAAATTATTGTTCATCACACACTAAATCGTCATAAAAAATGTAATATAGTGTCGAAAATAAAAAGATATCTTTTTAATTTTTTTTATTTTTTTTTTTTGTGACAAAAATAACATTTAATATTTCTACTTAATAAATCAATAATAAAGATTAATTAACGGTGAAAAAATCATTGCAAAATATAAAACTATTTATTAAACTATTGATTTATCATATTCATATTCGGACATTGACATATGCATTTTTTCAAATATTTTCGCAAGGGAACCTCATCTCTTGAGTCATCAGTTTGTCTTCTCCTGCTTTAAATGGCAAATGCCTTATTCCAGCCCATTACGTGCCGTCACTCAATTTACATGTGGAGGCTGCGTATATACGGCACGGCCGCACGGGATAGTTAGGTGGATTCTTTTGAATATCATTGAATGCGACAACGTTGGTGGACTTATAATCGCGTGGTCACCATACTTTTTTTAGGATTTTTTTTTTTTTTTTTTTTTCCAAAACGATAGAGAATATTATAAATCAAAATGCACAAATGTGCGAATACACAGCAGCCAACAGCTGAAAAAGTGGGAGGACAGGTCAAAAAACCGCCTAGAATCCCGGCTAGCATCGCTAGAATAAACACACTCGCAACTAAACTAACTAACAACACAAAGAACTAAAACAACTAAAACAACTACCCGAGTGCCGGACCCCAACAGAGTAATACCCGAGTGTCGGACCCCAACAGGGTACTAAGGTGACACTTGGGTGTAAGTTTGACACTCGGGCTCAAAGAGGCCAACGGCCCAAACGAAAGACAC